TTGCTGCAAACATCCGCTAGGCACCCCTTCCATGCCAAACGCTGCATCCCCGGCCCTTGGGGATGAGTCAACCCTGATGAATCAGACCAGTGAGGGATTTGCTTCTGGACCTTCACAGTCTAGAAGTGGAAACAGCCACGAGACGGCGTGGCAAGTGCTAGAAAACACGTGGACGCAGGGCCTAGGAACGTGCGGCGGGTAGGGGGGAGGCCTGCCCTCCTCCGCTGCATCGGACTTTGTATGAAGTAGAAGTACTAGCAGAAAGGTGCAAAACCTCCCAGCACAGCCTGATAAATTCGCACAGTCGAACCCCCCTGCGAACCAGCACCCACATCAAGGAAGGGAGCTTTACCCCACTGCACAAGCCCCCCACATGGCCTCTTCCTCACCACTCCCCCCAAAGGGAACCAAGTGCCTGCCTCCGGACACCAGACGAGTTCCGCGGTGATCGAACTCCACGTAACAGGTCCGCCCAACATCTTCGTGCTCCCGGGGTGGCCCCTCTGAGTCGTGTCTGGCTGAGGCTCACCAGCGTCGCGGCCGTGGCCACAGCATGCTGGGTCACAGGCCTGCCCGGGCTCCCGCTGCGACGACCACTGCGACTGACCTGTCCCCCTGGTGACAGCCTGGAGTGATCGTGGAGGACTCTGCCATGATCGTTCTACAGTTTTTGCTTGGTTTTTCGTGGAACCCGTGGACACGCTTCCGTGGGGCACAGGACTGCCAGGTGCCAGGGTGTGCCTGTGTTCAGCTTTAGCGGACGATGGATGAGAGCTTTCCAAGGTGGCTTCGCCAGCGAACGGCGCTGCCAGTCGCGGGAGGGCTTGGGTCACCCGCAGCCCGGCCAGCACGCGCTCCCGTGTCAGCCGTGCTGAGTGTGCCTCGTGGCCATAACTGCGTTTCCTCGACACGTGTGAGGCCGGGCCTTTTCCACATGTCCCCGACCAGGACATGCCACGTAAAGCAGCAGAATTCTCCATACTTAACTCCTCTTCCTCTTGCACCCTAGAGCAGCTCCCATTTTCCTGAACAGACCCCGACACCCCCGGGGACCCCAGGCAGGGGGCTGTTTAGTGCTGTCACGGAGAGAGCCGCCGGCTTGGCAGGATCACGGGGTAGCGGCTCCTTATGAAAAGAAAGCCAGAGAAGGGACATGGGTGTGCCCGGCGGGAGCAGGATCGGAGACCTACATCCTGGGGGAAGGGCCTGGACGCGGGGAGCACACTCCCATTCTGCAGGTCTGGCCTCTCTCCCTGCCTCCGGCTGCGAAGCTGGACCCCCAGACGCCCTCCCCACCCGGCAGGCCTGGTCGCGGGAGGCCGGCTCTCGGCACCCTCCCGTGTGCGGCCCCCGTCCTCCGCGTGTCCCTCCCTCCCGAGCCGTGCCCGCCGTGATGTCGTGAGGTGGGAGCGACAGCCTCCAGGGCCGGCCCTGGACGCTTCGCAGAACTCAACAAATGTGGGATTAACGGACGGCTGCGCATTTACTAAAGAGGAGACAAGGGACAGAAACGACGTGAAAGAGAATGGGACACTTGGAACGTCAGACACCCGTACGCAGATGACCGCTCGACCTCCAAACAACCGGCAGGTTGGCCTTAAAATTCCCGTTTCGAAGGTAAGAAAGCTGAGGCTGTAGAACTTAAATCGCTTGCTCAGAGTCAGAAGGCTGGTGAGTTCCTGAGGTGGAAGGAGGACTCCGTCACCAGCTTGCTCCCCACTCACCGGCGCCTGGCCCCGTGGCAGAGGGCAGGGGACGCACCTGCGGCCAGCCAGGGCCATCAGCTCAGTGGCCGTCAGGTCTCCTTCAGAGCCACCCGCATGCAGACTTCCACCAGAAGACAGCAGACGGGCTGGGTCTCACGGGACCCAGGTCACCCTTAGCCCCGAGGTAAGTGAAACCAGGTGGAGCACAGGTGAAGCCCACAGCCAGCACCATTTCCCACCGGAAACCAGACGGGCAGCTGAGCAAAGGCTCCGGGAGGCCGGACAAGGTGGCAGCAGGTTCAGCAGCGCAACTAGAGGTGGTGGACGGCTTCACCTTCCTGGACATGGAAAATGGCCCTCCTGACACTGTCGGGCACGTGGGAGACACCCAGGCATGAGCAGCACGTGGTCTCCATGCTGCTTTGCACAGAGCCTCGCCTACTCCTCTGCCTAGGGAAGGACAGACAGGGGCCGTGGTGGGCATCGGAGAAGAGCCCAGTGAAGCCCAGGAAGGAGACTTCTGCACCCCAGAGAGCAGCCCAGCGTCGATGATAAAATCAACCTCGGGACGCCTGGATGGCTCAGTCGGTTAAGCATCCAACTTCGGCTCAGGTCATGATCTCCCAGTTCGTGGGTTCGAGCCCTGCATTGGGCTCTGTGCTGACAGCTCAGAGCCTGGAGCCTGTTTCGGATTCTGTGTCTCCCTCTCTCTGACCCTCCCCTGCTCACACTGTCTCTCTCTCAGAAATTAAAAAAAAAAAAAAAAAAAATCCAGATCCGAAGCAGGAAGACTCGGAAGAGAACCAACACCATGGTGCGCTAGAGAGAGGCACCCAGCATATGCCAGCACCTTTCAGACGTTACCCCCTCTAACGCTGCCATCAACAGCCAGAGGGAGGCGTCACTACCTCCATCCTACACATGAAGAGACTGGGATGCGAGGAGGCACAGTGTGACTGCGCAGGGCAGTGACACAGAGCTGCGGGGGGGGCCCAGGCCCACGGTGAGGGCACATGGCCCACTTCCCCACTGTGTGTGAACACCGCGTCCAGGGCGGGCCTCCAGGTGCCCCCGAGGCCCCCACCAGACCCCTGCACCCCCAGCGGCTCACTGCTCTCCGTGATGAAAGGAAAAAACACTCCTCACTTAGATCCCACAGTGTGGGCGTGAGGAACAATTACTCAGAAAGATTAGAAAGCATAGGAGCCCTACAAAATAGGATTTCCACACTCAAGAATAATCGTCTAGGGAATAAATACTGCACTACAAAGGGGTCGGGACGTCCCATCCTCCTTGAAAAGGAGTCTGGATTCGGGGCAGGATTTCCCTACTTGCCAGTCACAACGGGCCAGCACTAGAGAACGGGGTCCTGCAGGCGAAGGGGCAGCAGGCTTCCGGCCGAGAGGCCGGCGGACACAGCACGAACCCGCCCCACGAGCCCGGGGCCTCTGTGTCCCCCCCATCCCAACCTCCTCTGGCCCTGGACCACGCTCCCAACAATGCTGGGTGGTCGAGGGTGAGTCAGCAGCTGCTCCAAGCTTCCCCCCTGAACAGGTTTCCACCGTCAATTTCTAAACTTAAGAGGAAATGGGAAAAGAAAAGAAAGAAGCCTGCTGATTGGAAGGCCCTTGAGCTGTGTGTGCAGAAGCTGAAAATGTCAAGGTCTGAGAGTATTCGACAAATGAAAGCAGAATTATATAAAAGCAACAGCTAATAAAAAAGATTGTCGGATGCTGAGTTCTTCATCTTCCCAGCCATTACGGGAATAAAATTATCCACGGAGAAGATGGGAAGCCTTTCTCAAGAGGGGTACAATTAAGCCCTAGGATCGGGCCTCTTTGCTCCCCCTTCTCCGGCGCCCCTCTTCCACCTCCAGCCAAATCTCTAGTTCCCGGGGCACGGGAGGTGCTTTCCTCTTGTACAGTAGCACCAGCAAAATGCTAGTGTTTAAGAGTCAGACGGGTGATCATGTTTTTGCACCTCCTTCTGGAAGCATCTGATAACTTCGCAATCGTGCAGGAAAACCTCATATTAGAAAGAGCCCCCATCTGCGTAAGTACCGAGTCTGAACTGCAGGAGGAGTGGGGAAGAACAGACGAGGAGGAAGGGAGCGTCCAGGATTTACTTCCCTTTCGGGGGCAGAGACGGGGCTGAGGGCGGGGAACCCGGGGGGGATGGGAAGGGAAGGGAGAGCGTCACGGGGAAAGCAGATGGGAGACAGAGGCGGCCGCCCTGCAGCCCCAGCAGACACGCGCACGTTTCCAGGAGCCGAACCCTGAGGGGGAAACGCGAGCGGAGCGGCACACATCACACAAACAGTCGGCGCTCACGGACGTCCGGCCGACGGTGATCATCAGAGCCGCGGCAGGACCCCCAGTCACAGCGCTGGTCGGCACAGCTACCGCCCACGCTGGGCCGGCTGTCCAGGAAGCCTCCGCTGGTCCTCGGGGCCGCGTCACAATTCCCGCCACCCCTTCGCTCCCTGCAGGGGTGACAGGGGCGTCCTGCCCCCACGGGGCCGCGCCTCTGCCAGCCCCGGGGTGCCACCCACAGGAGAAAAGCCCGACGGAAATCAAGCCCCTCCAGCAAACTGTCAGTTTCAAAGCTCCAAACCGTGACCAACGATTCTCGAAGATCTGCCTACAGTGAGCTGACGGCTCAGGTCGCCCGGCGCGCTGTCTCCGGCAGGAGGAAGAATATCGTGTTTAAACCTCCCAACCAGCTCCCTGCCATGATTTAAGCCGTTCGAAAAATCTGTCCTGATCAACTAATTAAGCCCCCCCTACACACACACAAAAGTAAGCACGTTACCAAATGAATTTTCAAGAGTCGCTGGAGGCTTTAGCAACAAACAGAGGAATGATGAGGTCTTTGAATCTCGCTCATTTCAAAGGCTTATCCCCAGAAAAGTGGGGAGCATGTAGTCAGGGTGCACTCTGATCTCCCCGACTCCCAGGAGAAAATCAATATTACAACTTTAATATATTTGTACAGCACGGCTTCACGGTATTATTCTTTTTATCCAGTGCAGCTTAACTCGAGTGAGAGAGGTAGGCTGGGGCCCAGCACCGCCCTGTGGCAGGAGAGAGGTTTTTCTGGAGCTGAACGACGGCGCGGCCGGCCGCATTCACCAAACGCGGGCCGATTAAACACCGCTGGTCTCTGTGAATGCACCTTGCAGAAGGGCTGGGGGTGAGGGAGCGCGTGTCAGCAGCGGCGCCAGTCACGGGGGGGCGAGTGATCCCCTGGGCCTCCCAGGACCTGGCTCCCAAAGGCGGCTGCCGTGGGCCTTACCTTCTTCTCGATGCGTCCCAGCTGCTCCCTGTAGAAGGCGTCCCGCCGCCTCAGCTCTGCCTCCCGGCTCTCCAGCTCCCTGGCCTGGTTGGAAGAGAACAAAGCCCACGTTAGCCGGCGGCAGCCGGGCTGAGCCGTGGGGAGAAGCCAAGGGGGCAAGCAGCGGCGATGGGGACTTGAAAACCTGCGCTTCGCTGGACCGCTGACACCCCCCGTGCTGGGTTTCCTCCCGGGACTTCAGGGTGGGCGCTGCTCCGGCCCTTCCAGAGGACAAGCACTAACATGTACTGAGTGCCGACTATGTGCCGGCTGCCAGTCCAAGTGCTTCCCCCAGACCCTCCCCTGGGGCCCCCACAGCACCTCTAAACGGGAGGCTGAGTTGCTACGCTGCCCCTGGAGGTGAATACATGAAGGGCCTAAGTGACTGTCCCAGCCCACAGCTCTGAGGCAGGACCTGGGATTTGAGCCCCGGCAGGTAGACGCCTGACCGCAAGCAGCGCTGCCTCAAGGCCACATAGCCTGGAAGGGCCAGGGCTGTGCCCTGGCCACCGAGTTCTCACCGCCGGCACCAGACCACGCCACTGACTCGCACACGAGCTCTCGGAGGCGGGGTGCCAGAGCACCCCTCTTCTGGCGAGGCCAACGCCCTGCTTCGGGGCTCAGGGTCTGAAAGGTGAGCAGTATCAGGAGCCCGGGGCCCTAGAGCCGGAGAGGACGGCTGCTCCCTCCACCACCTGAGGCGGAACATAGAACTGCCGGTGCACATGGCCGAGGACCCTCCCTCGAGGTCACAGCGCAGGAGCCGCCGACCGGGGGCTGAACCCGCCCCACTCTTGGCCAGCTGGGTGGTCCAGTTCGAGCTCCCTCGGGTGCAATACGTAAATCTGCAACACAAGTGCCTGTCCCACGGGACCGTGGCGACGGTCAGAGGAAGCCCTCAGAGCCGTGGGCAGGGCCACAGCAGGCCTCCACCAAGGGACACCTGCATCACGGCCATCTCCTCCTGCCGGGGACAGCCAGGGCCGTGTCGCCTCTCAGGGCGTCTGCGGCACGAGGCCCCACAGCCTGCCCCACCCGAGATCCGAGAACCCCAAAGGGCTGGCTCGCGCTCGGGCTATGTGCCCCATGTAAGGGACCCAGTGCGCTCCAGCACCCTCGGGCTCCTGGGCCACTTAATCACCACGACCCCGAGAGCACACAGCCGGTCAACGACAGAGGAAACCACGGACCTGAGGCGGCGGTGACTCCGCATCCTGAGCTGCTTCCTGCAAACCATGCTGTGGCATCAGCGCATGGGTGTGAACTGTGCAAAAGCACCGACCGGGACCATTTCCTCGGCAAGCTTCTCCCAGACGTGAGAACGTTCTAAAGCCCAGCAGGGGGTCAGCAACGTGGAGCTGACCACAGGGCAGCGACAGCAGCTGAGCAAAGGTCCCGGTTTGGAGGACCTGGCCGCGCCCCGGGGAATGCCGGCTGGCTTGGCGTGGCGACGGGCTCAGCCCTGAGAGTCGCACTGCACCGCGGGCTCCGCCACTGAGTGGCCCACAAGCTGGAGCATTTGCGATCCTTTCCTTGGGTATGTCCCCCTCACCTGGAGGTGGAGAACAGAGTAGAAGCTTGGCTCCTGAGGCTGCTGGGGAATAACTGAAATACCAAGGCTTCTGGAATGCGTGTGGAATGCCAACACTTCAGAGAAGCTAAATACAAACAGTGAAGACTGAATGCTGAGGATTTCTCGCAGATTTCTCAAAGCCCGACGCTGAGGCGGGGTCCCAGGAACCCCGCACGATGAAGCGGTGCTGGGCCACCGCAGCCCCCGGGGCCCAGAGCATCGGCTGGCCGGGTACAGCCAGAAAAGCTGGCGTGACACAATGAAGCAGCCAGTACGGGAGTATCTCCCGGGGCCCCCAACAGTCCCTGCCAGCCTGGAGGACACCCGAAAGCAAACTGCCACAGGCTCTTCTGCCGCCATTCACTTACGGGGCGGGGGGGGGAAGGGGGCCCGCGGGGGGGCAGGCAGGTGGGGGGGCGGGCAGGCGGGGCTGCCCCTGCAGGTGTCTGTCGACCCTCCCTCCCACCCACACCTCAGGATGCCTCCTCTGGGCAGCGGCTCTAGAACACTCAGCTCTGGCTCCTGGGCCTGGACCAGACGGATATCTAGGTCGGATGTGGGATGCAGGGCTAAGGCTCCAGGCAAAGCTCCCCAACATGGAGGCCTCCTCGGGCCACAGAGTGACCGGTCACACACGTGAGGAGCCACTGAGGACACAGAGGTCTCCTTTCATGGCCATGTCAATCTGCAGCACCGCGAAGCTGATGCCGAGTGAGGAAGGGACTAACTGCTCAGAGAGCCAGCAGTCTGTCTGCCCCGCTGGAATGGAGGCTCAGCGAGAGGAAGGGCCTTCCTGGTCCAAAGCCTTGGCCTCCACCACCGGGAGCCAGCAACGTGGCTAGCTCACTTCCTCCACCCCGTCCTGGGATTTATAAGGACAATGGACAGGAGGAGGTGACATGTGAAAAGGGCTGCGGAAAACACACGCGGTACAAACGCCGGGCTGTCAGTGCCTGGCCCGGGGCAGGGACCCACTTGGCTTTGATGAATGAAGGAGGGAGTCAGACACTGGTCGCTGTCCATGGCTGCTTCCAGCCGACGCGTGCCTCCCAGCACTCACGAGAGGCCGTGCCGCAGGCCCCTCGCAGCATGGCCGTGGAATTGAGGAGGCCCGGGCAGGTTTCAGTGACTGATCCGGTAATTTATCAGAACATTATTGAGTGCCTACCATGTGACAGACACTATCGCAAAGGGGTTGTGGATGCAAAAGGGAAATGAGAGTCTCTGTTCTCATGAAGCTTAGATCCCAGTGGGAGAGACAAATGTGTGCACAGAGAAATGAGATAATTTTAGAGAGAGAAATATGCTGGGGAGGCCACAGGCAGAGTAACTTGTGGGGTAGCGGGTTGTGATTTTCTCTAAGGAGATTTCCAAGCCTGTCTTCTCAGAAAAAAATACTGAGTAAAGTACGCGGTCTCCAATACAAAGGCAAAATATCACCATTATGAAGATCTACTTGGTGGATTACAGGCTTTGAATGGGGAATTGAAAAGAATCTTCAGTGATTTAGTCAAGGACTTCCTCCAGTCAAGAGAGTGCAGTGAGTTCACACTTTGATGCATCTTCCCTGCTCTAAACACATAGTAAGAACAGATCAAATATAAGAATAGGAGACCAAAAAGGCACGGCCAGGTTCAAAACCAAAATTAAAACGTCTAGCAGAGCAGGAATGCAAAGCAGCAGGTGAGGCTGGAGCCGCAGGCCTGCTGGGCTCGGGCTCTGGAGTCAGCAGAGGCAGAGAACAAGGCCTGCCCCAACCGGGCGGGGGACCCGAGCCAGGCTTGCCACCTGCAACCCAGGGCTCTCCCACACCAAGAAGCTGATGCCAAAAAAGGTCCTGAAGCCCCCCCTGCAGGGCTGAGGTTCAGCCCACAGGCCACAGCTCGGGTCCACTCACCCCTAGCCGGGTCCCCGCGCGGCACACCACTAGCACCACCACGAAGGTCACAATCACACCTGCCCCTGCATCCAGGCGCAGCTGTAGGCCATGAGAAACATACTAGGCGGGGAGAGACGGAAATGGGAGCCGAAACAAAGCAAAGCAAAGCAAAACAAGACAAAAAAATCAAACTTTCTACTCAATGAGCCTGCAGGGGCGCCTGGGTAACTCAGTCAGGTAAGTGTTCAACTGTGGCTCAGGCCATGATCTCACAGTTCGCGGGTTCGAGCCCCGCGTCGGGCTCTGTGCTGACAGCTCGGAGCCTGGAGCCTGCTTTGGATTCTGTGTCTCCCTCTCTCTCTGCCCCTCTCCTTTTCTGTGCGCTCTCTCATTCTCTCTCTCAAAATAAATAAACATTTAAAAAAATTTTTTTAATGAGCCTGCAAACCAAATCCCAAATACATGAAGAAATACGACGCTTAGAAAGGCTACCAATAAAATGAGCAATTGGAATATGAAGTCACTCCAGAGGAAATGACTTTTATGGGACTTTACAACAAAGGATTTTCTCAAACTTTTTATTATGCAAAAATTTAAACATGAGACTGAATAATTTAATAAAACCCCAGATAGCCATCACCAAGCTTAAAAATTTATAAACTAAAAGAAATCGTGTTTTACCTATAATCCCCCACCCTCTCACTACCCCCAAATTTCTTACAACAGGTCATTTCATCTGCACATACTTCAATATACTTCTCTAAAACACAAGGAATTTTATTTTTCCTACACTTAACCACAGTACCATTGTATACCCCCCAAACGAATTCCTTAACATCACCAAATATTCAGACAGTGCTCTAATCTTCAATTGATAAAGGATTTTTAAAATGCATGTTTAAGATACTCAAAAGATAAATGAACTTCTTGGGGCACCTGGGTGGCTCAGCCGGTTGGGTGGGTGACTTTGGCTCAAGTCATGATCTCATGGTTCATGAGTTTGAGCCCTGAGTTGGGCTCTGTATTGACGGCTCAGAGCCTGGAGCCTGCTTTGGATTCTGTGTCTCCCTCTCTCTCTGACCCTCCTCCACTCGCCTTGTCTCCCTCTCTCTCTCAAAAATAAATAAACATTAAAAAATTGTTTTAAGATAAATGAACTTCTAATTGAAAAAGAAGAAATTATGAATCTGGAACTGGAAAACCCCCAAACAGGTAAATATTACAAACTTAAATTCCTTCAAAATAAAAAATAATATAGATAAGACAAACCCTAAGTGGAGGGCAGTAAAGCGGAAATAAGCAAACTGGAATGTAGCACAGTGATGTGATCCAAACACAAAGATAAAAAGTATGAAAGAGGAGCCGAAAAACTTGGAAGACAGACTGACAGACTCCAAGAACGATTTCAGAAGAAGAGCCCAAAAGGGACGGCAGAGGAAGAGGTGGTGAAGGAAGAGAAGGGAGGGAAAGGAGAGGAAGGAGGAAGATGGATGTTAGAGCAGAGGTAAGGGAGGGTGGGGGAGGGGAGCAAGATGTGGCAATAAGGAGAAAACGGTGGGGGGGGGGGAGGAGGAGAAGAGGATGTGAACAAAA